AATTTGTACATTTTAAACTTTTAAAATCACTTTCAAACCTATTACCTTACTTTAGCACCATGGTAGCTGGGGAGGTGATGTACCTTTTAGGCCAGGTATTTCTGCTTTATAGGTAACATTTCCAGACTAGAAAGTGGAAGAGCATGTGAGGACCTAGTTATTGTGACACAGTCTGAGATGAAGGGATGTTAGCCAAGCCAAAAAACCTGGGTTTTCTCAGTATTAGAGACCTGAAATTTCTGGGGAGGAGGAGCTGGTACATTAATTGTTTTTGTTTTTAAAAAAATATATTTTATTGATTTTTGTAAAGAGAGGAAAGGAGAGAGATAGAGAGTTAGAAACATCAATGAGAGAGAGTCATTGATCAGCTGCCTCTTGCACACCCCCTACTGGGGATTTGACCGGAATCGAACCCGGGGCCCTTCACTCCCCAAGCCGACGCTCTATCCATTGAGCCAAACCGGTCCCAGCCATTAATTGTTTTTTTAATGGAGTTATCTAGAGAAGTAACTTCACATTTTGTTTAGGCTCCATTTATTGCCCTTTGCTCTTTCATAGTTTTACAACATTCCTTCTCTGTCAGTGGCCACATGCAGAGAGATCAGAGTGACAGTGACAAGAGGTGTTAATCAAGCAATTAAAACACTTAAACCATTTTAAAACATATTTTATCTTTATTGTTGAAAGTTATATAGATGTACTCATTTTCCCCCATTGATGCATTCTAGCCCATCCCTTCTTCCCTCCCCATGCCTTCAGCACACTATTCTCTGTGTCTATGATTTATGCATATATGCATACAAGTTCTTTGGTTAATCTCTTCCCACCTCGCCTTCACTCTGAGATTTGTCAGTCTGTTGCATGTTTCTATGTCTCTGAATCTATTTTGTTCTTCAGTTTACTTTGTTTAGCTTCCACATATGAGTGAGATTATGTGATACTTGGCTTTCTCTGACTGGTTTATTTCACTTACCATAATATTCTCCAGATCCCTCTATGCTGTCTCAAAGGGTAAGAGGTAATTTTTTGTTTTGTTTTGAGGTGTGTGTGTGTGTGTGTGTGTGTGTGTGTGTGTGTGTTTACAGCTGCATAGTATTCCATAGTATTTAAAAGTACAACAGTTATTTATTTATTTATTTATTTATTTATTTTTTCTAATATATTTTATTGATTTTTTTTGCCCCCCTCCCTCCCTCCCACACATCCCCTCCCTCCCCAGAGTTTTGTGTCCATTGGTTGTACTTATATGCATGTATAAAAGTCCTTCGGTTGATCTATCATCTCCCCAGATCTTCCTCCCCTCCCCGCTGTAATTTGACAGTCTACTTGTTGATATACTGTCTCTATATCTATCTTTTGGTTCATCAGTTTATAATGCTCTTTATTATCCACAAATGAGTGAGGTCATGTGCTGTTTCTCTTTCATTGATTGGCTTATTTCACTCAGCATGATGTTCTCCAATTCCATCCAGGTTGCTGAAAATGATGAGAATTCCTTCTTTTTTATGGCAGCATAGTATTCCATTGTGTAGATGTACCATGGTTTTTGGATCCAATCATCTGCTGACGGACACTTAGGCTGTTTCCAAATTCTGTCTATTATAGATTGTGCTGCTATGAACATAGGGGTGCATATATCCTTTCTGATTGGTGTTTCTAGTTTCTTGGGATATATTCCTAGAAGTGGGATTACTGGGTCAAATGGGAGTTCCATTTTCAGTTTTTTGAGGAAACTCCACACTGTTCTCCACAGTGGTTGCACCAGTCTGCATTCCCACCAGCAGTGCATGAGGGTTCCTTTTTCTCCGCAACCTCGCCAACACTTGTTGTTTGTTGATTTGTTGATGTTGGCCATTCTGACAGGTGTGAGATGGTACCGCATTGTTGTTTTGATTTGCATCTCTTGGACAATTAGTGACTTTGAGCATGTTTTCATGTGCCTTTTGGCCTTACTTCTGTCTTCTTTTGAAAATGTTCTATTTAGGTCCATTGTCCATTTTTTAATTGGATTATTTATCTTCCTTTTATTTAGTTGTATAAGCTATTTGTAGATGTTGGAGATTAAACCTTTATCAGTGGTATCATTTGCAAATATGTTCTCCCACACTGTGGGCTTTCTTGTTGTTTTGTTGATGGTTTCTTTTGCTGTAAAAAAGCTTTTTATTTTGATGTAGTCCCATTTGTTTATTTTCTCTTTAGCTTCCATTGCCCTAGGGGTAGTATCAGTGAAGAAGTTCTTTTGGCATACGTCTGAGATTTTGCTGCCTGTGGATGCTTCTAGTATTTTTATGGTTTCCCGTCTGATGTTTAAGTCCTGTATCCATTTTGAGTTTATTTTTGTGAATAGTGTAAGTTGGTGATCTAGTTTCATTCTTTTGCTTGTGTCTGTCCAATTTTCTCAACACCATTTATTGAAGAAACTGTCTTGACTCCATTGTATATTTGTGCCTCCTTTGTCAAATATTAATTGAGCATAGTGATTTGGGTTGATATCTGGGTTCTCGATTCGATTCCATTGATCTATATGTCTGTTCTTGTGCTAGTACCAGGCTGTTTTGAGAACAGTGGCTTTGTAATATAGTTTGAAGTCTGGTATTGAGATCCCTCCTACTTTACTCTTTTTTCTCAGGATTGCTGTAGCTATTCGGGGTCTTTTATTGTTCCAAATGAACTTTTGGAGAGTTCTTTCTAGGTCGGTGAAATATGTCATTGGTATTTTAATGGGGAGTGCATTGAACCTATAGATTGCTTTAGGAAGTATGGACATTTTGATGATGTTGATCCTACCAATCCATGAACATGGTATGTTCTTCCATCTCCTTACATCTTCCTCTATCTCTTTTTTCAGTGTCGTGTAGTTTTCCGCATATAGGTCCTTTACTTCCTTAGTTAAATTTATTCCTAGGTATCTTAATTTTTTTGGTGCGATGGTAAATGGAATTGCTGTTTTAGTCTCTATTTCTGCAGTTTCTCTGTTGGTGTATAGAAAAGCCATGGATTTCTTGGCATTAATTTTGTATTCTGCTACATTGCCAAATTCATTTATTAAGTCAATTAGTTTTTTAATGGAGTCTTTTGGGTTTTTTATGTACAATATCATGTCATCTGCAAATAAGGAGAACTTTACTTCTTCTTTTCCAATTTGGATGCCTTTTATTTCCTCCTCTTGTCTAATTGCAATGGCTAGTACTTCCAGTACTATGTCAAACAGGAGTGGCGAGAGTGGGCATCCCTGTCTTGTTCCTGTTCTTAGAGGGAATGGTTTTAGTTTTTGCCCATTGAGTATAATGTTGGCTGTGGGTTTATCATATATAGCTTTTATTATGTTGAGGTATGATCCTTGTACTCCCACCTTGTTAAGAGTTTTTATCAGAAAAGGGTGTTGGATTTTATCGAATGCTTTTTCTGCATCAATTGATATGATTATATGATTTTTATCTTTCAATTTGTTTATGTGATGTATCACGTTTATTGATTTGCGGATATTGTACCATCCTTGCATTCCTGGAATAAATCCTACTTGGTCGTGGTGTATGATCTTTGTGATGTTCTTCTGGAGTCGATTTGCTAGAATTTTGTTGAGGATTTTGGCATCTATGTTCATGAGGGATATTGGCCTGTAATTCTCTTTCATTGAGTTGTCTTTATCTGGTTTTGGTATTAGGGTGATGCTGGCTTCATAGAAGGAATTTGGAAGTGTTCCTTCCTTTTGGATTTTTTTGGAATAGTCTGAGGAGGATAGTTTTTAGTTCTTCCTTGAATGTTTGGTAAAACTCTCCTGTGAAGCCATCTGGCCCTGGGCTTTTGTTTGCTGGAAGCTTTTTGATGACTGTTTCAATTTGTTCCCAAGTCACTGGTTTATTGAGATTTTTAGATTCTTCCTGATTGAGTTTTGGAAGATTATATTTTTCTAGGAATATGTCCATTTCCTCCAGGTTGTTCAGTTTGTTGGAGTAGAGTTGTTCATAGTATTTTGTAACAATCCGTTGTATTTCAGTGGGGTCTGTTGTTATTTCACCTCTTTCATTTCTGATTTTGTTTATTTGGGTCCTCTCTCTTTGTTTCTTGGTTAGTCTGGCTAGAGGTCCATCTATCTTGTTTATCCTTTCAAAGAACCAGCTCTTGGTTTTGTTGATCTTATGTATTGTTTCTTTGGTCTCTATGTCGTTTATCTGTGCTCTGATTTTTGTTATTTCCTTCCTTCTACTTACACTGGGCTTTTCTTGTTGCTCTTTTTCTAACTCTTTGAGTTATAGAGTTAGATCATTTGTTACACTTTTTTCTAGTTTTTTGCAATAGGCTTGTAAGGATATGAACTTCCCTCTCAAAACTGCTTTTGCTGTGTCCCATAGATTTTGGATTGTTGTGTTTTCATTGTCATTTGTTTCCAGGATGTTTTTAATTTCTTCCTTGATTTCTCTGGTCACCCAGTCCTTGTTTAATAGCATGCTGTTTAGTCTCCATGTTTTTTATTTCTTTGGATTATTTTTATTGTAGTTAATTTCCAGTTTTATGCCATTATGGTCTGAGAAGATGCTTGATATGATTTCTATCTTCTTGAATTTGAAGAGATTTTGCCTGTGTCCCAAAATGTGGTCTATCTTTGAGAATGTCCCATGTGCATTTGAGAAGAATGTATATTCTGTGGCTTTGGGGTGGAGTGTTCTGAAGATGTCAATTAATTCCATCTGGTCTAGTGAGTCATTTAGGATTGATATTTCTTTGCTGATTTTTTGTTTAGATGATTTGTCCAAGGGTGACAGTGGGGTATTAAAATCTACTATGATTGTATTGCTGTTAATCTCTCCCTTAATGGCCTCCAGCAGTTTTTTTTTTTTTTTTTTAATGTATTTGGGTGCTCCCGTATTGGGTGCATATATATTTACCAGGGTTATTTCTTCTTGTTTGATTGCTCCCTTTAGTATTATGAAGTGGCCTTCATTGTCTCTTGTTATGTCCTTCACTCTGAGATCTAATTTGTCAGATATAAGTATTGCTACCCCAGCTTTCTTTTCATTTCCATTTGCCTGGAAAACCTTTTTCCATCCCTTCACCCTCAGTCTGTGTGCATCTCTTTTTCTGAGGTGGGTTTCTTGTAGACAACAGATGTATGGGTCTTGTTTTCTTATCCAATCTGTTACCCTATGTCTTTTGATTGGAGCATTTAAACCATTTACATTTAATGTTATTAATGATAGGTATTCATTTGATGCCATTTTTATTCTATACCCCTGTGTTCCTTCTTCACTTCCTATTTCTTTATTTTTACAGTAGACCCTTTAGCATTTCTTGCATTGCTGGTTTGGTGGAGATAAATTCCTTTAGTCTTTTTTTGTCTGTGAAGCTCCTGATTTCCCCTTCAATTTTGATTGATAGTCTTGCTGGGTACAGTATTCTTGGATTCAGACCCTTTCTTTGCATGACTTTGTATATTTCATCCCATTCCCTTCTGGCCTGATAAGTTTCTGTTGAGAAATCAGTTGTTAGTCTGATGGGGGTTCCTTTATATGTAACTTTCTGTCTCTCTCTGGCTGCTTTTAAGATTCTAACTTTGTCATTGGTCTTTGCCAATTTAATTATAATATGTCTTGGCGTCGGTCTTCTGGGATCCATTTTGCTTGGGACTCTGCGAGCATCTTGGATTTGTGTGGGTTTTTTCTTCTCTATCTCAGGAAAATTTTCTGTCATTATTTCTTGAAATACGTTTTCCATATCTACCTCGGTTTTCTTTCCTTCTGGAACCCCTATTATTCGAATATTGTTTTGTTTTGCATTGTCCCAAAGCTCCCGAAGGCTCCCCTCCTGCTTTTTAATTTTTTTTTCTAGAAGCTGCTCTAATTGGGTATTTTTTTCCATCTTGTCTTCTAGCTCACTGATGCAATCCTCTGCTTCTTCTAGTCTGCTCTTGATGCTTTCTATTGAGTTCTTCATAGTAGCGATGTCATTTTTCATTTCATCTTGAGTCATCTTCATTTCCTCTTGGGTTTTTTTCATTTCCTCTTGGGTCTTACTCATATTGTCAAATTTGTCTTTCATTCTTTTTAGCCATCTTAAGATCGTTACTCTGAATTCTTGCTCTGGTAGGTTGCTTGCCTCTATATTGTTTACTTCCTTTTCTGGTGAAGCCTGCTTTTCTTTCATATGCGGGCTGTTTTTTGGTCTCCCCATGATCTAGGATGTCTGGTGTGTAGTTCTCTCTCTCCTGCTTTGATTTAAAGGCACAAAATACAACACAACCAGGTACAACACACAAGGCACTGAATAGAAATGTGTTTGTGATATTAATAACCACCAATAAGGGTGACTAGAACCCAGCTAACAAAAACATACAATCAAACAAAAAGCATAGGCAAATCAATCTTATAAAAGAAAAGCATACAACTTCAGTAAAGTTAACATTCAACATACAACTTGAAAGAGTTAGAGAGAAAGACTGTTTTGTTTTTTTTGTTTTGTTTTGTTTTTAGGACAACTGCGAGGGAGGTGTGAATGGTTTTGGAGCAGGTAGTTGGAAATTAGATATATACAAGTAGGGTGAAATTTTAGGAGGGGGTAGACAGAAGGAATGGGGGGAATCTAGAGCAGGAAAGGGTTAAGATAAACAGGGTATCAAAGGAAAAGATTGGAAAGAGAGTGAAGGCATAAAGGTAGGGTTGAGATAGAATAAAGCGTTGGAGAAAGAAGGATAGATAAAGACTGTAGAACAGTAATCCTGAAATTAAAAAAATATATATATATCAATCAAATGAAATAAAAATAATGAAAATAAAGAAAAGAAAATAAGATGAAAAAGGTAAATTAGTAGTAGTAATAATGTTGATTACATATACAATGTAATAAATATCAAGATAAAATCAAGTGAGGAAAAAGAAAAAAAATAGTTTCTTGAGTAAACGTTGCAAATAATGAAAACAAAAATAAAAAACAAAAATTTAAAAATTAAAAAAAATAATAATAAAATTTAAAAATTTTAATTAAAATTTGCAGTAATGAAGGTCATTCGCTTCCTCTATTGTTATGATCCAGTCCTGATTTTTAGGCAGGTTTTGCTTTGTTTTTATTACACTAGAGTCAATTTGTGGATTAGCCTCTGGGGGCAGTGTTTCTAGGTTGACTTCCCAGACTCTAGAGTAGGGGTGTCGAACTCAATCAGAGAAGGGGCCAAAATCTAAAATCCAGCCTAAATCGCGGGCCGAATGGTTTACTGAACAGTCATAAACTGTCATTGTGATGGAAACGCAGCGGAGTGCAGTGATGACAGCGCGGTGCAGGCCACATTGCAAGGCCTGGCGGGACGAATTTGGCCCGCGGGCCTTGTGTTTGACACATGTGCTCTAGGCCCCGCCCCCCCCCTCCTCTCCGAAGCTGGAACTGCGGAGGGGGGGAGGGGGGGTCAGGTCAAAGCAACTGGAATCTCCCGCAACTCTCCGATATCCCTCCGAGCCGGATCCAAATGTGTTGCTCTTTAGATATCTCCCCTGTTAGGAGCCCTGTCCACTTTCAAGGGTGACAACAGCCCAACAGCGGGGGCTTCTACTTGTAATCACCGCCCTTGTCCTCCAGCTTCTGCGAGAGCACTCTGTGCGCGCAGCGTTTTTGTTTTTGCCGCAAGGGCTCTCCACCCTCTCCCAGCGAAATCTGACCTTTTCACTGAGCAGGGGGCAATCCTGTGAGGGCAGGTGTTCGCTCCGCCTGGGATCCGCGTTCTGGGGGTCACAGATGCTTGGTGGTCGCTGTGGCTGTGGATATTTAGGCCTCTGACACGATCCTATTTTCCTCTCAAGATGGTGAGGTTTCCCGTCCAAGCCGGTAGGTAGCTCCGGGCAGGGACGTAGCCCTCGTGGGTGCTTCCCTGTGAGGGGTTCCTCTGTCAGCGGCCCCCCAGCAGTTTCTTCTGGTGTTCACTGTCTCCCAGCTTGCCGATAAACACTCACAGCACAAGACCCTCAGTTGCTCTCTCTTTCTGCTTCGGGAGAGGGCTCAGAATCCGCTCATCTATTCTTCCACCATCTTACCTCCTCCTCTATTTTTTTTTTTAATCCACTCATCTATTGATGGGCATTTAGACTGTTTCCAGATCTTAGTTATTGTAAATTGTGTTGCTATGAACATAGATATGCATACATTCTTTCTGATTGGTGTTTCAGGTCTCTTAGGACATATTCCTAGAAGGGGGATTACTGGGTCAAATGGAAATTCCATTTTAATTTATTGAAAGAACTCCATACTGTTTTTCATAATGGCTGCACCAGTCTGTCTTCTCACCACCAGTGTATTAGGGTTCCCTTTTCTCCACATCCTTGCTAGCACTTGCCATTTGTTGATTTGTTAATGGTAGCCATTCTGACAGGCGTGAGGTGATGCCTCATTATTATTTTAATTTTATCTTCCTGATGATTAATGACTTTGAGCATTTTTCCATATGTCTCTTGGTCATCTGTATGTCCGCTTTGGAGAAGTGTCTATTTGGGTCCTTGGCCATTTTTTTAGTTGGATTGTTTGTCTTCCTTTTGTTAAAAAGGATTACTTTATATATTTTGAATATTAACTCTTTATCAGATATTTCATTGGCAAATATGTTCTGCCATACAGTGGGCTCCCTTTTCATTAAACCACTTAAATGCTATGTATGACACTAATGCTGGTTGCACTGAAAAGCAGATATAATATATCAGTTTCATAATTCCAACCCAAATTGTGTTATATAAGCCTGGCATATTATAGACAAAGCTTACATTCCTTAAGAAGATGGAAATTTGAAAAAGACCAAAAAAAAAAAAAAATCAAAGTGAAAACAAAAGCGTTCATATATACTTTGGATCTTGCTAGGTGACTTCTGCTCTCTTCTTTAGGTCGAATGCTTGAACACAGGAAATATAACTGCATTAAGACAGAATTTTCCTATCACTGAAAAAATCTGCTTATTAAGTTTGTCAGAAGCTGTCTTGTCTCCCTGCCAAAATAACAGACTGGTGGATTCTATGCCAGTGGGTGTAGGTGGCTTATCAGGTTCTCATCTCTGAAGGTAGAGAGTATAAGTAAGGTCATAGGTAAGGCATCCATGGCCTCCTTTTAATCTTGTATTTCCAGATTAAGGTAGTTCAGTTGTTTTTGTTTGTTGTTTTTTTGTTGTTTTTTTAAAGAAAACATCTAGGGTGGAAGTAGAGGGTGGGGGTTGGGTGGGGATACAAGTTAGCAGGTCTGGTATACCACGAGGCCAGGTATCCCTGATCACCAGCAAGGGTTGGGAAGGAGAAAACCCATTTAGGCTACAGAGCTCCGTGGTACCATCTCCTTTCTACCAAAATATTTACTAAATGCTTAAACAAAAGCCTGGCAAATCCCCAAAGATCAATTCTTCCCTCTGGGATTTTTTTTTTTTAATCAGTTCTACCCTGAGTCACATGGGCTATGGGACATGTTGTCTCTGCCTGCAGAGAGCACTGGCCACCAGGCCTCAGTCCTGCAGTGACTGTCTGTACTTCTGCGTTCTGACCATTATTAGTTAACGCTGCTATTCAAGTTCAAATATGGAAATATCTTCCTTTTAATTCCTGTTTTCCTTCCTTAACCCACAGCACACTAACCTGTCAAAAAAAAAAAGCCTTCGTATAATTAGAGTAAATGCTGCTTCAGAATGGTCTCTGTGCCAGGGTGTGGCCGGCATTCAGCAGAATGGAAGTGGAATGCGACTTGTATAATCATCATGTCTGAGAACATCAGACACCCCTTACTGTGACACACAGACTCTTGGGGGACAAATAACCATATTAAAATTCATTTGGGTGTGAAGCAATAGAGAGCAATGAGTAAAAACTGATTCCAAAATATAAAAATTAATAGCTCAAACTTCAAAAGATGCTTTCATTGTAAACTGAGGTTTTTGTTCCCTGATCAATTATTCCTCTGCCCTTTTATTTTTTTATTTTTATTTATTTAAGCCCAAGAGTTTGCTTTAATTCAAACCTTCGACTTACCAGGCTGCTACATGGGGACATTGACACTCCATGTAGCTCTCATTAAGAGATCTGCCTGCCTCTACACAGGATGTTCCCAGTATCAGTACATCCAGGTCTCCAACAGGTGAAAGAGTTGTGAGTCCACATTGTTCTGGTAAAGATGATTCCCCTACACTTTATAATAAAAAACCCACTTTCACATTATGTAATTTAGATTTCCAGGTTACAAGCAATCATTTCCCCATTACAAATTTAGGATACTGTTTCTCGCAAATTGGTCCTTTTCAATAAATGGCAAAATAAAGGCAATAACTATTCGATTGGATTGAAAAACGAAGTACATAACTTGACTTCTTTTCCTATTTACTACCAGCATGTTTCTCCCCCTTTCCTTTAGATTGCATATTTAAACACTGACATAAAGATAAGTGTCTTGTGTTTTGGGACTAGAGTTATTTTTATAATTGCATATGAAGCCCTGAATTGGAATGTTAGTAGTACTTAGATGTTAACAAGATAAAGGGACATGCCATCAATGTCTCTGAAGAAAGGCTGCGTTATGCAATGGAGGGCCAAGGGTGAGGCTGTGTGAAGCTTCTGCCCTTTCTCTTCAAAATTCTGGACACAGCAAATACAGCTCCAGGTTGTCTGGAGCCAGCACATATCAGCCTGCGGGCAGGAGCTTATGTGTGTTATGAAGTGAAGAATGCTCAACCCTGGCAGACACTTTATAGATAATAGAGGCCAACTTTCTTAACTTATAATCTAAGGGCTATGTAAGTTAACTCTGGTTTTGAACAAGAATATTTTCAAGTAATGTGATTCACACATTGTGAATCATTTTCATATACATATGTCACTTGTTTCTCCCCCAAATTTGAGTGTAGGTGCTGGTTCCATTTTGCAGTTGAGAAAACGGAGGCTCAGAAAGATTAAGTGGCTAGTTATAAGTTATAAAACTGCAAGGAATGGAGATCAGACTTGAACCTCCATTTTATAAATTCTCCACTCTTTTCACAAGGCTTTGTGCCCTGTCTGCAGTTAGAGCAGTGTGTAGTCCAACAAACATTTATTGCCTGCTTTCTAAGTGTCTGATAATATTGTGCATAGCCTGTAATCTGCATTCTCTCTGCATCTAAGCCATTAATAAAAGGGTGCTAATAAATGTGAATAAGCTTTATTTTTTATTATTTTTAATGTCATTAGGAAAGTTAAACACAAAAATTTAGATTTTAATTTTTTTTAATTTAATTTAATTTTATTTTTATGCTTCATTTTCCTGTGCAAGTAAGAAGTACCATTTTGGCTTATCTCATGAAGGTGGTGCCAAAGTACCTGACAAAGATAATCATAAAATCTCCTGGGAGATACCTGGAAGTGTACCTAATCTAACTTTGTCATTTTTAAGAGATGAGAAAATTAGCACCAGGAACTTCTAGTACATTTTTCAAAGCTACATATCTACTTAGATGTTGAGCCAGGACTGGAAATCAAAATGTTTGATGATCAGTTTATTTCTTTTAGAAGAATAATTTTTAGTCAAGTGTAGTTTGATTATTTCATATTAATACTTCTCCCCTCCTCCCCCCGACATATTTTTAAAGGGACAGGATAAAAAGAGACACTTTTGGATTGAGATATATGTATATTTCTAAAACCATCATACAACAAAAATATTAACAATTAAGCACATTAATCTGAAAGAAGAGAAAAAAAAGCAGGAGCATTCATGTTCTCAGTTATATTTTCCCTCCCTAATCAAAACCATGTGAAAAGCTAGGCAAGAATCAAGAGCCTTGTATGATTGCCAAAGATGAAGGGAAAGTAGAAAAAAGAAAAATGAGGGAACAGCAAAGCAGAGACCCAGTATTATTTCCAAAACTTCAGCACACAGTCACACTTCCAGTTCTTCATAAGATAAGAATATTTTGCTCACATTGGGCTAATTTACGCTTCACAGGAAAGCCTGTAGCTGTGCTTTCAGCTCACCACTTCCTGTGGGAGTCAGAGAAAGAGGCTCAAAATCTTCATTTCTTAAACCAAAATGCTTCCAAGTCAGAAGAAAAACCTCACTGTTCATTCTGCCTTTTGGTAAAAGGAGTCCACAGTCAACTCCTTAGCAATCATGAAGAAAATGTCCATTTATCAGGTGTCTTTTCTCACTCACTCTCTCTCTCTCTCTCTCTCTCTCTCTCTCTCTCTCTCTCTCTCTCTCTCTCTCTCTTTCTCTCTCTCTCTCTCGTTATGTAAGAAAGCCTAACTTCCTTTTGGGTTACTGAATTCCAATTACTTATTATTCATGCAAGTTAATTATTTATAGTTGCAAGTTTTGTTTTGCCATGACAACACAAGCAATTTTAGGCACAGAAAAAGCCCTGCTAATCACTTGGAGCTGATCTCCATTCTGTCTCTTCATTACCACAGTTCCTTACAGAACCTTGCATTCAGGGCATAGAGAAAAGAAAAGTTTACTGGGAGGCTGGCTCCTGAAATTCACACCATAACTTTCATTGTTAGGTCAATTTAGATGAGGCCAAATAGTGAAGACAGCTAAATAATACGGTCTTATTTAATTTGTTTTAAAACAAAGTTCAAAAACATTTTCATCCATGATTATCTTCCAAATTCTTGACAATAGCCCTTTGACTTATTCTTCCTTCTTCTCACTTCCCTCCTTCTCTGACTACTCCTACATTATTAATAAGATCCCATATTTTTTTTTCATGGGTGCCACCTCAGCCAACCACCTGTTAAGAAATTATCTCATTCCAGTCTTCCTCTTGGTATTCCAGCAGGTCTGCCTTGAGACTGAGGAAGAAGGTGTAGCTGGCTCACCTGTTCATACCTTCTACTTCCTGATATTCTTGTCTAGCTTTTCTTTGAAGATTTTTTTTTTCCTGTGGGCTCCTTCTCCTTACCCCAGTCTCATTTGAAAATCATTGATCTAATGGGAAGGTTTTTGGATCAATTGAGAACCCTCGGGGTCTCTAGAGACCAAGATAATGGAGCTTACCCTAGAGCTGATTCCAGGTTGGCACTACCAGAATAGGAAGTAAAACTTTAATTTCTCTTTCAGAGATTGAGCCTCGTGACATAAAATGACATGCCCAACATCTACTCAGTTAATGGAAAGTGCAGAACCAAAAAGACTCAGATCTGAGTTTCAACTCAGTTTTCTTTCCATATTCTAAGAGCTTGTAGAGCTGTTAACAGGGAGCACATGCCAGGGGGTCATATTGGAGAACTTCCTGTTCAAAACACTTGGTCCTTTGGGTTTTGATTATAGTAGAAGGAATTAATTATTTTTATTAGGAAATCAGAAGGAATAGAAGACCCAGACACTCTGAGTGGGTACTGTATAATTACACAGAACTCCACGGAGGGCACATAGGAAAAATAAAATGTATGAAATAAAATTTATGAAATAAAATAAACCTAAAGATCTTTATAGATATCCAATTCTTAGATATTCTAAAGATACTCTTAGTGCCTTCTACATTTTAAACCCATTTTATAACATAATGCTTTTTTTTCAATTAACAATTATGCATATCTATAACACAAGAAGGTTTTAATTTCACTTCTTATATTTGGAATCATGAAAATATGCACCCTTACAGATTCTTGTGTCCTCAGATACATAGGTACTCCCCCTGCCCATAATCCCTAAGAATTTCTGTAGCACAATCTCATAGATAGAATGCAAGAAATGACCTGGCTAAGATTCTATAGCTGTTTATCTGCCTGTCCAAGATAAGAACATATGTTTCTTACCTTCTAGGCAAGAGCTTTATCATATACTAAAAGGCTCATGAACGAAGATTCAAAGATTCATGCTAGAATGGGCTTTCCTTTCCCTGGCTGCTGGCATAGCCTTTCCACCCTGGCCTAGACCTTTTCCACTCAGGCCCTGCAGCCACCTCTTTCTGCTCTGGGAGCCCTCTCTTTTTGCTCCAGCCCCACCTTCCCATGCTGCCCACAGGCCCTGAGAGACCAGGGGTGGGGAAGAATGCCTATGTTGTTGCCATGACGACAACACAAGCATCCTGCCTGCCCCCATCACTCAGTGCCTGTGTATGCAAATAAACTGCCATCTTTGTTGGGTTAATTTGCATATCACTTCTGATAGGCTGGTGGCGTAGCGGAGGAACGGTCAATTCACATGTTTGTCTATTATTAGGTAAGATAATATTCTGTGTGCCTAGAATTTAAATGTATCAAGAATATGAGATGTTGCCCAGCTGTTGTGACTTTGAGTATTAACTCATCAATCAAGAGTGTTACTGATTGGATTTCTAGTCAAAGTACATGCCTGTGTTGCAGGCTCAATCACAAGTAGGGGCACACAGGAGAATGCTATTTGATGAATGGTTTTCTCTTATCATCGATGTTTCTATCTCTTCCTCTCCCTTCTTCTCTCTCTAAAATCAATAAAAACATTTTTTTAAAGAATATTAGATGTACTATTCTTCAAATTCCTTAAAGTGCTCAAAATATTTCATTGGGGAGAGTTATTCCAGGAATTTTCTGAGAAACAAGCACATGGTACATCCATCATCCAAATGATTCTTCAGAAACATTGATGTTAGAAGCAGAGATTAGAAGCCCAAAGTCTCAATCTGCCTCTGAACAAAAGGGAGGGAAGTAAATGAAGATAAGAGTTACAGAAAAGAAAACACCTGTGACCATTTGGATTTACACAGCAAATACTAATGAATGCATAGCGTAAAGCAGTGTAGAGCCCAATTCCTAGATTTAAAATTTTAGGCATAAAATTAATCAGCCAAATGAAATGAGAATTTTTAAATGCTTGTAAGTGCCCCAGGAATCTTTAGAAATTTAAGCAACACTCTATAATTAATACACGTGGGGTTTTATTTATTTTTAAAGAAAGAAAAAGTATAGCTGTACTGTGGACTCACAAAGAAAGATAGAGAATTTCTTCTTGAAAGATATATAATGATCTCTTCCTGAGAATATCAAAGAAGGTAGACTCATCTTATAGCAAGCCTGATAACTGCAAGGGACAGGAAAGGACAGCAGTCCCTGGAAGGAATATGTGTGTGAAAAGATTATTGAAACTTACAAGGCTTTAATAAAAGGATTGGAGAGAAAGAAACACAGGAGGTCCATTAGTAGAATATAGGAAAGATAGATTTAATGATGAACATGACATTATTGAGATAATACACTGCATCATTAAATTTATCTTTTAGAATGAAGAACAAATACATCCCCAGGAATCTTTTTTGTGGGGAAAAAGGAGTGGAAATAATTATCTTTTAAAAAAAATTTGGCCATCAGCAAATTTTAAAACAAAATAACTTTAAAAGTGAGCAAAACTAATAGAGGGTATGAGAAGTTAGAAAATGAATAACCTTGGAGGGAAGGAACAGAGGTAGGGGTGTGTGGGAGACTTCCAGAATGCAGGTGATATTCTATCTTTACACCTGTGTGAGATTTAGGAGGAGGGTTCTTTATGAAAATTCATTGAGCTGTACACTGACACATGCACTTTAATTATGTGTTACACAGGAGCAAAAAGTTTAAATGAAAATGAAATAAAATGAATTTTTTTAAAAAGGTAAATATTAAAATTATAATGATGTGTAAATCAGAATCAAAGATGGAATAGTAAGGTAATGGAATCAGACAGAAGCACATAAGTATTTTAAACAATTATTAGAGAGCTGAAGATTAAAGGAATAACAATCAGAATATAAACACGTTTTACTTTTGCAATCAAAATATGCTGTTCTGTTAGGACAAATTCCACACAACAACTTATCAACCTGTGTTTATGGCCAGTCCTCACAGATAGTTGGCTTAAGAGTCAACCCCTCTCACCAATGTTCCAACAGTAATCAAGGCTCCTTTACAATAGAAGGGTACACACAATTCACACACAGACACACCTGAAGTACCTGATTCAGGAGGCTACTGACACTGTGACACTAGGACTACTTCTGCATAAAGACTTGGAGATGTAGGAAATCTACCTAACACCTAGAAATAAACAAAGAGAAGCAACCAACATAAAAAAAAAAAATCAATGAACATGTTCCAAATGAAAGAATAGGACAAAACTGCAGAAAATAAACAAAAACAAAAAAAAGGAAGAAGGCAGTCTACCACACACTAGTATATATTTCAAAACACTGGTTAAAATAATGCTCAATGAAAGTACTGGAAGAACAGAAAAACCAAGATGGTGGCATAGGTAAACACCTAAACTGCTGCCTCGCACAACAATTTCAAAATTACAACTAAAAGATAGAATAGACATCATCCAGAACCACAGGAAAGCTGGCTAGTGGAAATTCTACAATTAGAAGGAAAGACAAAAGCTCATGGAAAATCAGAGGAGCTGCAAAGGACTGAGGTATGAAGACACATGTGCAAAGTGGAAGGGTGGCTGAGTGCCTGGCTGACTTTCTATGACAGGAGAGGGAAGGAAGCCCCCAACTGCACTGAACCCCAGTTCCAACTGCACTGAACCCAAGTTCTGAGTGAAACCCTGTGGAACCAGGCTTATATGGGAGGAATCTGGACTGTCAGGTAGAGAGAAAGGCACAGGGAGACTCGAAGTCTTGGGGAAACCGTGGTGGGCAGGGGTCTGGAGGTGCTGTGCATGCGGAGAAGACTGACTGCTGAGGTTGCTGCTAGCTTTCCTAATGGAAGGGAGTCAAAGCTCCTGACTGCACTGAGCCCCAGTTCTGGGTGAGCCTGGTGGAATCTGGACTCTTAGGCAGAAACTCAGGAAAGCCTCGAAAGGCAGAAGTTTGGAGGTATGCATGCAAAGGCAGGGCTGAAAGAAAGTCAAGACTATCTGCTCAGCCCTGAGATTCCACCCCATCCAAGCTGAACACAGAGGCTTTTTCAATTTTTCAAGTCTGGTCCTATAAGGCTGTCTCCAGCACAGGTCTCCCAGTGTAGATACAGCTGATACACATAGCCAATTCACCTGGAGATCAATTCCTCCCAGTAATCCCAACAACAATCAAGACTTAACTACTATAAGGCTGTACACACAGACCAAAAAAGGGTATACCAATAGTGTCCACCTCAGGTGACTGGGAGGCCAACCCACTAGGCCATACAGGAAACCTAGCACACAAAGCTACCCTACCAACTCAGGGAAACAGCAAAAATGTGGAGACAAAGTAACAGATCACAAATAAAAGAAATAAAGGAAAAAAAAATTGACTAGATACAGAATTCAAAACCATGTTTATAAGGTTTTTCAAGAATTCTCTAGAAAAGCCCAATAAATTTAGCCAGACCCTCAAGGATATGAAAAATGATCAACTAGAAATTAAACATATACTGACTGAAAAAAATATATATATATACAGAGACCCAACAGCAGATTTGAGGAACACAAGTATCAAGTCAAAGATTTGAAATACAATGAAGCAAAAAACAATCAACCAGAAAAGAAAAGAAAAAACAATCCAAAACGTTGAAGATAGTGTAAGAAGCCTCTGGGACAACTTCAAGCATACCAACATCAGAATTATGGGGGTGCCAGAAAAAGAGAGAGAGCAAGATACTGAAAACCTATTTGAAGAAATAATGACTGAAAACTTCTCCCACCTGGTGAAAGAAATAGACTTACAAGTCCAGGAAGCACACAGAACCCCAAACAAAAGGAATCCAAAGAGGATTACATAAGACACATCATAATTAAAATGCTAAGGGCAAAAGACAAAGAGAGAAAATTAAAAGCAGCAAAAGAAAAACAGTTAATTACCTACCAGGGAGCACCCATACAATTGTCAGTTGATTTCTCAACAGAAACTATGCAGGCCAGAAGGGAGTGAAAAGAAATATTCAAAGTAATAAATAGCAAAAACCTACAACCAAGATTATTTTACCCAGCAAAGTTATCATTCAGAATAGAAGGCCAGATAAAGAGCTTCACAGATAAGAAAAAGCTAAAGGAGTTCATCACCACTAAACCAGAATTATATGAAGTGCTGAAAGGTATTCTTTAAGAAGAGGAAGAAGAAGAAAAAGATAAAGATAAAAATTATGAACAACAAATACATATCTATTAACAAGTGAACCTAAAAATCAAGTGAATTAAAAATCTGAGAAACAGAATAAACTGGTGAATATAATAGAATCAGGGGCATAGAAAGGGAGTGGATCGATAATTCTCAGGGGAAAGTGGTATGGGTGGTGCAGGAAGAGATTGGACAAAAATTGTGTACCTATGGATGAGGACAGTGTTGGGGAGGTAAGGGCAAAGGGTAGGGTGGGAACTAGGTGGAGGGGAGCTATGGGGGAAAAAAGAAGAAAGTATTGTAATAATCTGAACAATAAAAATTTATTAAATTAAAAAAAAATAAAAGCCCAAATCAGAGAGTTGGTAGGAAAAAACTCCACAAAAACAATTTTAAGTAGAGGATCCAAAACTATTATACAATCTTAAATGTTAATTCTATTAAAGTAACAGTTGTTTTTTTTTTATTTTATTACCTTTGTAAATGGGTGATAGATGGCTATTTGCTACCCAAATGCTTAAGTGTGGTTATATTATAAAATTTTATTTTTTAGCTTTTGTTATATTCTTAGTAAACCAAAGCTTGTCATTGCATAATAGTTGTGATTCTGTACCAGTGTATTAGATAACTGGTATTATTGAGGACATGATTAAATAGTATTTTTTAAAACTTAAAAAAATAAAAAAAAGAAAGTACAGGAAGAATAAAAGATCTCAAATAGAACTTAAAGAGATAGTAAGCACAAAAAAGGATAGAAAAACCGTAAAAAAGAACCAGTCAGAAATGAAGAAAACAATAACTGAATTAATGAACACCACTAGAAGAAGTAAAACTTAGATTATCAGAGCATCAAAACAGTGATTTGGAAGAAATGATAGTGGAAACACTCAGAATAGAAAAAAAGACTAAAATGAATGAGGATAGTTTCATGCACCTCTGGCACAACATCTAGAGTACCAATATTTGCATCATAGGGTCATCAGAAGGAGGAGAGAAAGAGCAAGGGATTGAAAACATATTTGAAATAATAATGACAGAAAATTTCCCCAACTTGGTAAAGGAAATAGACATAGAAGTCCAGGAAATACAGAAGATTCTAAACAAGATGAACCTAAATAGGCACACACAAAGATATATCATAATTATAATGTCAAATGTTAAAAACAAAGCTGAGGTAGCAATACTTA